ATTAAGCGGGTGCGCACCCCATCATACATTTAAAAACCGACCATTTATTGCCAACCATTTAAAAACAGGTTTATAAATGGCGGTTTATAAACCAGTTTACAAGCCGGACTAATTTACAAGACCCTAGCGCGGAAGGATGAAAATAGTGTGCTTGCCGTCGCTTGTTTGTGCTTGGATCACCGGACCCCACGTAACACGACCCAAATTGGATGTGGGGTGCTCCCAAGCCATTTTCCGAACTCCGGGAAGCAACTAAGAATGTCTGCGGCCCGCGGGGTCCCAGAACCTTCCAGGAGGTCTCCAACCCTATCAAAAAAAGTGGTGTGCATTTTTTTTTTCGCCGGGGGCTGGGTACCCCCCTCCCTCTACCCCATATGGCATATCCTTATCTTTGGGCCCCCTTGAGTCTATCTCTGTTGAAAAATCCGCCAGTAAGGTGTCTCCCAGGAAGCGCCAGTCCGGGCCAAGGATATCGCTCCAGCTGTCGCTAGAAGCATCGGAAGAGCTTTCGGTGTCGGACGAGCTATCCAAGGATGACGACGTAAGGCCAGCGGCCTGCAATAAATATGCTCGTATCGGCCGGCCCGGATGTGGGCGGCTGCACGTTTCGGCAACAGAGCTTGGCGCTGACAACCTATGCTGTTTTGTATGTATGCATTGAGCAAGGAGTTGGTGCGGCCAGTGCATCTTGTAGCTGGCGGCATCTGGGTGATCTGCAGGTGGCTATGCAAGGGCTAGTCGGGTGTCAATAATCACGGTGCATAATCCAAGCACAATCCAAACTTAGGTTGGGGCGGCCAAAATTCACCATGATTATGGAGAGATAATGGGTGATTAATATTGTATGAAATACGATAATCCACTCATAATCCTTGCCATAATCCCTCCATCCTCTGTAGTCCTTTAGTATTTACTCTGACTGCCCCTAATACTAAGTCTAACAAAGATTCCATCACAACATGCGGACCACATTCGTTAAACACATGTGCCTTCCACATGTGTCAGGCTGTGCCCCCGGTGTGAAATGGATGAGTTCGAGTTGATATGTGTCGAAATTTCATGGTAAAATTGGATGCGGAAGGATATGAATTTAAATGCGGAGGGACCGGAGTTCGTTTAGGGTACGAGCCGCGGCAGTGCTCACAGCATCTGCACTCTTGTGCGCCCGAAGAGGTGTATGTGCTGACCCGTGACTTGGCGTCGAATCGAGCGAGGTACAAGGAAGACTATCGCCTAGGAAAAGAATGACTGGGGAGTTGGCGCGGAGAAGCCGAGGCGGACGATGCTGTTGTGGCGTACCCTTAGTAGAAATCCAAATGGATGATGGTCCAGGAATTTTAGGGTAATGGCCAGAGGCCCAGAACTGACATATCATTCGCAGCTCAGGCGGTTTCCCCGGGCACTCTGAGCAGAGCTAGGTCTTCAGGCGAGGGTCTGAGACAAGTATTAGACGGCGAGAGCGCAACTTATTTAGGCAGGAGCCTGGGGGAAGACGACGGCTGACGAGAGCGAAGGGATCCTGCCTTGATGCTGCCAGTGATTCTTGGTCAACCGGGGCCATGGATAAGGCCTGGGTGGGACATTTGAGTGTTGAACACGGATAAAGTCCAAATGCAAGCCGAGTTAACATCAATTCCAAACAGTTCCGAACTCTAATCCGACTCTTTGCCACGCAAAACTCGGTCCACCTGGCAGTTTGCATATTCTTGCACCTATAGAACCTCCTGCTTTGCTGTCATACCTGCGTGTTCGGTCTCCTAGACGGTTCCGGTGGGCCTCTTGACCAAATAAAAGGGACGACCCAACTAGAAGAATCAAGGAAGAATCGGAAACATGCAGGGCGTGAAGGGTGTGTATGGACCAGACTCGGAGGTGCGTTCAATCCCTCATATTTTTCCTTTTTGATATAATTCTCTCGGAGTCTCTCCCTGTTAATACATTCCATTCGCCTTGGAGGGCGCAAAATTGAAGACGGAGATGCGTGGTACCGCCGACCGCAACGTGTAGCGCAAGCAATGCGTATCGCTGTTCACCATACTCAAACACCTCCACCTTCCCCTACGTTACTATACGGAATCGGCTCATCCCAGACTGGGGAAGGCTAGGCGATCCCATTCGCGTGGTACAGATTACCATCCTCGCAGTCCGGGTCAGCACGGACTTGGTTTGAGCAGGATCCCCGCATGCCAGTATACGACAGGCTTGGCTATTGTGCCTCCTTGGGTGGCCCTCCCGTCTTTCTAACTCGCTTTCCTCCTCTCGCACTGCACTTTGCTGACGCTTTCTCCAAATCTCTCCCGCTAGTCATATGGTCCACCGGGGACGAACATCTTGGACCTCCTGCACGAGACTGCGGCTGGAATTATCCCCATGCCTGTCGGGTATATGTGGTGACTCGACTCTCGAGATACCCGCCACGTGGATGTTCCACTCTGATTCTCGGGCAGCACAGCGTATGAAGTGTACATATCCGATGGAGTGATTGGCTGCGATCTGTGATAGCGGGGTATCGTGCGCCGATTTTCTTCTTTGTGTTGGAGGCCACTAGAGGCTGCTACGAGATCTCGTGCCCCTGCATGTACCGTGGTGCAGCCAGTTCGCTGGCTGAGGGCGCAGACTGGCCGGGTTATGGCTTCTCGCGTCGCCTGCAGCAGCTGCGTGGCCGTCTTCACGAAGTCGGGCGTTCTTCTCGCGCTCTGGGGTGAGCGTGCTGTGAGGGATGCCTCCCGCTGCAACGCTCGGCGCAGGCGGTACCGGGGACGTCCGACAAGATACTTCTCCCATGTCCCGTTCACTTTCCTCCAAGCAGTCTCATCTGCCGAGTTTTAACAGAATATCCCTGAGACAACTGAGACCACTTACCTAAGCAACAGGCCTCCAAGGTCGAATAAATGTCTCTGAGACCTCGTACTGTGATTTGATGGTCTGTCGTTGCTTCTGAAAATGAGGCCAAGATCGAGCCCTCAAAATTGTAGGCCCGAAAAGCGCGGCAGATAATCTGGGAAATGGGAAATGATTTCCTGCGAATAATTGTATACAAGTGTAGTTCAAAATATGCGGCGCACGGTGTTCTAAAGCAGCGGAGGCCACGCGAGCCGCTCTTTTAAGCCCGAACTTCCACCAAGCTAGTCATAACCTTCTTTCCGCCCCTCTCCTCGATCTTCGCAATGCGGACCAACTTCTGTTCCTCCACACCCCCGCTCGACGTGACCGTTACTTTGCACAGTTGGGCAACGACCCCCCCAGAACCCGACGGCACCACAGCCAGATCCTCGACACTGTTCAATTTCAATTTGTAGTTGGCGTGGAAGTTCTCGATGATCTTAAAGATCTCCGCCCTGGATGCGGTCTTGCCGTTCATGCTGTTGGGTTTCGCGTCAGCTCACTTCAGTGTAACAGCGCGTTCGACGCACTCGAAGACGGCATCGGCAGCGATGTCGTTCTCGAACGCGGCGACGCCAGCAGCCTTGTCGCCGCCGTAGAAGAGACGCTCGAACAGCCCGTTAACAAAGTCGGTGAGAGACATGATGGTTTGGTGTTAGAGGAGTAAGAGGAAGATGTTTGAGTAAGCTGGAGGATGATAATTGTCCCGTGAGGGTCGCGGTCCTCTTATACGAGCCTAGAACGTAAAGGTAATGATAGAACCAACATACACTGGTAATACCGGCCTTCACATCGTTCCAGCTGCCACGGCCGTAGTACCCCGATCCCTACGTAAACAAAGGGCATATCGACCTATTTCGACCTTGAGATGGTGCTTGAAGGGCAAAAGAATGGGGAAAGGATAAACGGTGAAGTTGTCGCTTAGCTATGCAGTTGTTGCTTAGCTACAATCCAGTTTCAGGCGGAATCGGGCGGACAGATTGGTGTCACGTATCACGGGCGGGCTTATGTACATAGATACTGCCCCCCCGGTAGGTAGGTAGAATTACACGGTACGGTCCCGCTTAGGAACGCCGGACAGATTAGTGAGTCTGACATATCATTATGACCTCACTCGGAGAAATTTGGCGCAGGAAGTTCGGGAATTGGCTACACCGACAAACTTACCGACGGCACGGCTTTCGGCACATTGCGGAGTTTGAAATATGGCCGGTATCGCCAGTTCACATAATTGCCGGACATAAGAGAAATAGACCCTAATTAATGGCATGAGCCAGACAGTATCCATGCCTCTTTCCCATTTGTCTGCCCGTTTCACCCAGGACTCAGGAGGACCATTATTTGATTAATTGAGGATACATGAACCTACAAAAACAAAGCCATGGGTTAAATATTCGGATTCCTTCTCAATAAGGACCCTAGTCTCTTGACAGACTATCCACTCGCAACCTTAGTAAGGACCCCGCAATACTGAGCCATAATTAACCCAATCAAGACTCAGGAGAATTTAAGGAGAGTGATGTTTTGGATGTCCCAGGCGAGCGTGTGGTATGGCTTAGCTCTTTATATTTCTAGACTATAATCTTCCCTCATCACCAGAGCATAATCTTTATAGTACCTAAGTAATGCAAGTCTTGAAATCGCCGGCAAACCGACGCAGTACGTGATCTGCCGAAACAAACTCCGGGGTTCCATCGATCACTGATGCCCCCGGTGCTGCCGGTTCCCGGTTATGATTTTCTACCAGCGTACATGCTGTATTTATACTTTCTATATTCTGCAGCCGGCTCTCCTTCCTGCCTGCCCGAATAACACCTCCTGTCCTCATGTCACTCCCCATGTGCTCCTCTGCAGCCTTCTTCGCTTGGCTCCTTCTCCGCTCAGTGCCTACTCATCCATCCCTCGTAATATCTGCTCAGTCTATTCCCAATTGCTCCTTCTTACCACTCAGCAATCTGTTCTCTGTGCTCGGTATGCATCCCTCCTGCTTGGTGTCTCAATTTGCGTGCTCAGACGGTCTTGTTGCTCGGTGCCTGGATATCTTCGATCAGTACACGTCCTCCTCGCTTAGTGTCTCGTCCCACTATCTCAGTGCACTTTGTTTCCTCCTTTTTATCAGCCACGTGGTGTAATGGTTGAATTGCCCGGCTGCTCTGGACCAGAATGTTGCAGGTTTGATTCCTGCCGTAGCTTTCTTGGAAGTGACCTGGCGATCCTGTCCCAGGACTCATCACCTGGCCACTTCCACCTTTTCCTTCCTTTTAACCCGATTTTATCTAGAGTTCCCATAGACAATGACTCGGTGTAGCCCTGGTGTCGAGTGAAGGGTGCTCGGTCTGCTTGTAGTTTTAACATATTGTGCTTGGTACATGTCTTGTGTTTGAAGAATCTATATGAAGTTTACTTAATTGAAGCCTGTATCAACATATAATCCTATTTAAGCACTTATTTGTTCAAACGGTGGGGTGGCCTGCAGAACTGCATGCCGGGAGCGTGTGATGGATTGAACAATGGTTGAACGAGAGGTGTTCAAATAGTGATTGTTAAACAGGTTGGAACAGGGTTTCACCAGAGTGCCAAAAACACCGGCAGGGCATCTCAAACCGGTGACCATCAGAAACCGCTGGAAACATTGTAGCAACGAGCACAACTACTCGGCAAGAGTGCACATAATGCAGTAGAGTAGATGGAGCAAAGGGTGCAACAATTTTTGAGCACACCTTCATCCATTTGGCTTGCTTTCCTATTTCAAGTTACGAGTACTTAAGGTAATCGTTATTTAATCAATCGACATGAGCTTTTTCAGGTCTCGGTGAAAAGTGTCCCAGCTCAAGATTGCAATGCCAAATAGGGGCTGTGCTATTGTATATAGTGGCTGTGTTGAAGGCATTATAGTGGCTGTCCCTTAAATTTGCTTCAAATCCTGTGAAAATATAGTGGCAGTGTTCGTGCTTTGTAATTAAGTCGCAATCGTGGGCCGCGTTCGAGTCTCGCTAGATCTCTTTTTTTCAAACCTTTTTTTAACTTTGTCCCTATTGCGTATTCGAGCAGTTCTTTTCAGCGTATCGGTTTAATAATGATTTATTGTAGCTGTCAACTAATTTTCAGCCTCCAAATCGACTTGTAGCTCCCGGTTTGCATTCAAGTCCATGTGGCTGTGTCTGTCTGTTTGGTCTCGGCGGATTTCCCCTCAGCTCTCTGCCCTTCCAGACCTTCTATGTCGACTGAATTCAGGGCGGTTTGCGATTGTGTATATCCCATTTAGATGCCTATGCAAAACTGTCCATTGATCAGCTGTCTACCTCGAGTTCTGTTCAATGGCCGCCAAAATGTGCTGCGGTCACGTGTGTATATCTCGCGGGTGTCAATTTTTTCCGAAGCAGTAGCCGCTGTTCTCGACGTAGCCACTCATGGGTTCATGCTCTTCAACCCGGGCGGGCCCGGAGGGACCGGCGTTGACACGCTCGTGAATCTCGGTGAGAGCTTGCAAGTCATATTTGTCTCCCAGTACGACATCGTGAGCTTCGATCCCCGCTTTATCAACGACCTAGTGCTCACAGTCAGTCAGCTTAAACTAAGTAGAATGAAACATACATTTGTCGCGCTTGGTTCTGCTTCAATGGCTGCTGCGACAGGTTCCGCGACATTAGCGGTCGCATTCAAGCTCATTTGCTTTTGCAGCTTTATAACTTCCGTGCTTAACAAACCAGAAGGATTAACCCCTAGTTGGCGTAGCAGGTTAAACGCGGTAGGCTGCAGTCAATCAGGCAACCGTACAACCACCAATAAATATGACGAACGAGCAATGCATTCGCCTTAGGCGGCTCGGGCGCATCTTTAGATTCCGGTGCATCTGTGTTCTGCGTAGAGATGAAATCAGGGCCTTTAACTCATATTGGATACAACATGGACGTACACGGCAAGATTCCCGACTCTGAAGTGGCATTAGTGTAGTATGAGACGATGTGTAAGATAACTCCACATACCTGGCTCGCTTCGGTGCACTGGCGGATCCGTGGTTCAGAGTTCTAGATTTCTGTCTAGTACGTTTCGCTGGCATATTGTTGGGGTTGCGAGGGTTTCGCTGCAGGGTAAGACGCAAGGAGGATTCTTTATATCTGCCCCTGCTATCTTCTTGCTTGAATTGGTGTGCAATCCCCGGAAATAAGATCTCGACAACGTCCGAAATCCAATTACTGGCAGAAACTTAAACTTAGCTCAGGCTCCTATGTATTCGAACGGAGACGCACATGATGCGTTTGACGATGGGTTGCGCCATGAAGCCATCGACACGGGCCTGGTGTTTTACATGCCAAGAGGTGAGATGAGGCCGCTGTTCGAATGGTTAGAGGTGCGTTCGTCCGGTGTAAAACTTTAGAGTACTGACCTTGGACGACTGTCTCTGATGTCCGATTATTATGAGCATGTGCGGACCCCGTAAACCATCGCGACAGAGATCGCGGATAGCGTCTGAGGAAGAGTCGTCGCCCACTAAGATGTCATGGGTGACTTCTACTTCTTCCGCATGATCCATCAGCCATTGTGCGCGGAAGCTGCGGAACATAAAAATTTGCCCATTGCGGTCGACGAAAAACGTAGACCGTTCTTGGCTTATACTAGTAAGACATATCAGTATGCTAGCTGCATAAGAAACGGAGAGCTCACTCTTCCTTAATCTCATAATATGCCGGGTAAAATTTTGAGATGTAAGGATGGAGAGCCCGTGCCCTTGGCTGAGAATAATAGAGGTGATCGATGGCGCGGCGGGCTTTGAGTGGGGGTGCGGCTCCCTGAAAGCCAGTGCTGCTGACCGATGCGTCCGAAAGCATCGAAAAAGTGGAGCCGGTTAAAACATTGCCTCTTGCGAACGCACATTCTATCTTCTGCGCGGGTGGCCGAAGCCCGCGCTTTGTTCTGCAGCCTTTGCTGGGCTTAGAGTGACTGGCCCTTGATGCGGGGAGCGAGCGGACAATGTAGTACTATCTGCGTCGAATATAGAATCTCGGCCGATAATTGCGCGTGTAGCGGTTTCGAGACTTTAACGTACTCAGGGTAGTAAGATAGGGTTAAATACACACACGCACCTCCAACCACCTTCAGGCCTCACGAGCTGCCCGCGGCTATCAAGCCATTTCTTGGTCGGCGGACTCGAAATCGTATCGGCGTCTTGTGGAGGTCTGGGCCTTTTTGCTGGCATCGGGTCGAAGGCAGTGTCGCATTGCGCGGCGCCTCAGCGCTGGCGAGGCCACGGATCCGAGCGGACCGTCGGGACGGGAGCAATGCATGTCTCGGATGCATTGCGTCCATGTCCGTCGTAGGGTCGTCCGCTGCGAGCGGGTCTCGGTCCGCCAAATACAGGGGGAGCAGGTCAACGGTGCTACAGTCGCTGTGAAGAACCTCCCCCTGCTACGCTCAGGATAAGCTTGCCATACCAAACTGTGGAACTCACGGAGAGCAGACGTTCCCCCTCCTGGAATGCGTTTGAGTGCACCGTGAGCGTAGAACTGCACCGACGGAGGAGTTCCAGGCCAGTAGCAACATCCGTAGTAGTAGTACCCCCCACAGGGTCCATGCCATCGCGGTGGTTAGAGCTGAGAAGAGTCGGCATGTTAAAAGGACCGACAGCTGCACCTGCTACAAACGCAGCATCAGATCCAGGGAAGTCCACGGGGAGCGTGGCGTCGCGTCGACGAAGGACTTCCCTTTCCCGAGCCGGAAGCAGAGGCACAGAGGAAGAATGAGACATGCTGGTGGCAAATACACAAAATGTTGTTGACGCGGCGTATGCGATTGTTTATCTATGTTGCCGGCTGCGTCATGTGCAGTTCCGTATTGATTGGTAAGCAATCGGCATTGGGTGAGCCATTGGCCTCAGACTTTGGAGACAGTCCGTGTTCGGCCGATGCAAAACTATTGTGAAAAACTTCCAGTCTGCTTTGAGCTACGAACTCCTGTCGAAAGTAGCTGAGCAGGATACATGTTGGGAGCGCTGCTTACTTTCACTGTATATGGGCATTATCATTGAAAACAACCATACATAGAGGTCCTACGTATGTTTAAGTATAGGAGCATAATATTACGATATCGTACTTGGTGAACTGCATTTACCTGCGAAAACCTGGGGTGGAAGGGTGGGACATGATGGTTGAAGACAAGACAACAAGCCGCTATTAGATGGCGTGACGGCACCATCGACGACGTGCACGATCACGGTAGATGCCGTAGACGGAATATTCCGTGATAGGACACATCGCTGCAGCCCATGGTCCGAATTGACGGCCGCGACACATTTTTGGTCTTTTGCCTCCGACCAGAATAACAGCTAAGTATAGCGAAGCGATTGGAACCTCTACGTAACATAACTAGAACCTCTACCTAGCATAGTACAAGGGGATATGCACCGAGGCCTCCCCAAGTCTTATCGATGGGCCAAGAGCGGCGCTGCCACAACTTCACCGCCAGTGGAGAATCTGTGCAGACTTCAGATTACTGTTGCATCGAATTTAAGAGAAATACGGTACATTTTATAGGAGGTGCTTTGCCTTTCTCTGGGTCAGCCATGTTGTGGGTGCAAAAAGAATTTGCGCCCTGGACAATGGAGGAACTCGGAGAACTGCTTCGATTAAAGTCACTATGCCTCAAACCCGCCCCCCATTGCCACGGCAGGAAACTCACAGTGCTTCTTGCCACATTTGACACAGGGGATAAATTAAATAGGTGATAAATATGCATAGCATCAAATCTGACAATGAGGTCAGCATATTCTATTAAAAAGAAACCTGCGACTTTATTTGCCTATGTTAGGCCTTGGTATCTACGCGTCAAGATCACGTGCCCGCATAAAATTCGAAATCTGCGTCTGTTTGCTCGATCCTTTAATGAAACGTCTACATCCTCACGCCTAGACCTGCTCATAGGATCCGACTGCGCTGAGCCGTGTGTCGGCCCCTGTCATATGTCCATGATTCTCCACTTGAACTTGATGGTTCGAACGATGCGCAGATGCACTGTCCCCATCCCACTACTTGTACAGACTAACACAGGGGACATTATTCCATTGCCTTAACAACATTCGAAAACATATATGTTGTCTTAAGTACGATCGTTTATGGAGCAGCTCCCGTGATATCCGTCGATCGACACTGCACTATAAGAACGATTTCCCGGTCATGACCCTTTTCGAAATGTCCCAC